ACTTGAGAAATCACGTAAAAGTTAAGGCGTTTCCTAACTCAGATTTTAATTTTCAATATTTTATGACACCGTCTGAGATGGGGCAGTACTCCCCACATACCAGGAAAAAATACAAATTAAGGAAGTTAGCACTGAACTAAGTAACCATTAATTTAAGGATAATTACAATCCTCCCAACGCTATGACTAAACATAACAAAGACGAAGCCTTTGGAAGGAAAGATTTTAAGGAAACCTAAGAAAAACTGATTTGATGAAGGATCAAAGGAGGCTGGTTCTGTCAGAGTTCCAGGGGTGTGAACATAGGAGGAGAGCTACTATGAACAGGGTATGGAGGAGAAAGCAGCTGACGTCCCTCACAGGGCTGACAACCAACAGAGTACGCAGTGACCTCACGGTAACAACCTTGTGCTGTAGGGCTCCTGTGCAGCAGCGTGAAGCCTGCGTGTGTGTGTGTGTGTGTGTGTGTGTGTGTGTGTGTGTGTGTATGTGTGTGTGAAGCCTGAGTGTGAATGAAGCCTGTGAAGCCTGCTCGTGAAGCCTGCGTGTGAATGAAGCCTGCGCATGAGTGAAGCCTGCATGTGAAGCTGTTCTTCAAAATGCTTCTCTCGGCCACTAGTCTCTCCTGCACCAGTGTGCCCACGCCATCCATGTCTGGAATCCAGCTGCTTGTGCCACTTGAGCCTGTGCTCGGTGCCTCCTGGCTGCTCTCCCTGCACCACAGCCACACTTTCTGCTGCCATGCTCCCAAGCTCACAGACCAGTGCCCACCTTGCAAGCACCCGCTCTGGCTGTCACTGCAGAGGGCAAACCTTTCATCCCAGGCCTCTCTACAAGAATCCTCTTGTGTATTTTAGGTATTTAAAGGTCACTGTCTAGGTAACAGCACTTTGGGCTGCTGCCATTACTGTTTACATTTCTGGGACTGTCATCGCCGAGTGCAGACTTACCCTGGCTGTGAGTCATATTTTCCTGCTTACTGGAATGACTAGTTTTATGTTTCTGTTTTGTTTTGTTCTGTCTTGGAAGGGCTTATTATGTAGCCCAAGATGATCCTCCTGCCTCGGCCTCCTCAATGCTGACATTGCAGCTATGTACTGTAACCGGTCATTTTTTACTGGCTATCGATGTCATAAAGTCAGTGTTATTACTTGGACTTTACTGTTAGGCTTTAGGATCTGGGGTGAGGGTAGACTGCTGTAAATTATTTCCAACTCCCTGCAACCCTCATGCTTCCTTTCAAGTCTGATTAAGGTTAATAGCAGAGAAAAGCAGAGAAGCCTTTCTCTAGGCACAGTCCAGCCCTGCTGCTAAGCTAGGAACTCCAAGTCTGTACCGAGTGCCCCAAGTCCAGCACAAGAGATTCTTCATCATCACGCTGGCCTTCCATCTGGCTCTGGGGACCATTCCCAAAAAGCAGCAATTCAGTGGCTGGCTCTGCCTGATCATTAGCAGTGTGTGCCCTAAACACTTGTGTCTGTGGCTGCAGAGCATAGAGGCCTGACAGACACCAGACGCCTGCAGCCCTTTTCTGTATTCTTCCTTCCTCTCAAGTACTCTCCCTCAGCCTCCAACTGTCTCAGCTCCAAAGTTCAATCTGCCTCTCCACCCTGCTGCCTGGGGCTGCCTCCGTGCAACTCAGCCTGACACAGTATCCAGGAAGAAAAAGGCTCCTCTGTCTGCTTCCTGTCTCAGGACTTAGGGTCACACTGCCTGGCACTCAGTGTCAAAAGGAGGCACTCTACACTTATGTTTATTCTACCTTTCCTGGCTCTGTTTACTGTTATCACTAAAAGGAAGTACACCTATATTTTTATAACCCAAAAAGTTGTCCTTTGGATTTGGTTTGGGCTTTTTTTGGGGGGGTGATGCAGGTTTGTTTTTTTTTGTTTTTAAGGGTTTTGTTGTTGTTGTTGGGGTTTTTTTTTTTGGTGTTAAAGTGAAATAACACTACTTATTTTGCAACATATACAGGAAAAGCAACACTTGACAATGAGTCAAACTACAACAAAGCTAAACATATCAGGTACTATATATATAGGGATTCCTTTAGGGAAAAGAACAGATGGGAATTTTTATTTTAAAAAAAGAAAACAAAACAAATTGATACAAAAGGGAAAAAAACCCACTGGTTTTGAAAGTGAAAATATTTACAGATAGTCAAATTCAACATATTTGTTGGTATCAATTAACCTCATCTGGCCCTGGCCCCAGTTTCAGATTATGGATGAGAGCACAAAGATTCTTTTAAGACTTAGTTTTAAGAAAGATTATAAAATATTTAAAATAATTTAACGGGGAAAACTGACATCACTTAAAATACCAAACTACACAAAGGTGACACATTTCTCAGATAGAGACAGTTCACTTATCTGAAATTCTCCTTTATATTCAGTAATAAGTCCTCTTACAAGGCAATTCTACCTCTACTGACTCTCACCGTTTCTTTACAGCTTAATACCAAGCTGACTAATCTCTAGAATCTCTGTCATCTTCTTTTCACTCGGTGCACACAGGACCTTTACTGAGGCAATACATACCCTGACACACACTGTGCACAGACTCTACCATGGAAAGAACAAGGGACAGAGGTATGTGCACCACATCCATGCAGTGTCACAGGGACCAGAGACCAGTGTACTCCTGGACAGCAACGCAAACCAAAGCTCCTGTCCCTACTTTCACAGCTTACCACAATGATTTGTGATTAACCAGCTCCATATCACGCCACAAAGAAATGACAAGACAGTAAAGCCAGATGTATCATCGATGGAACAGAACTGAGACTCTGGAATAAACCCCCATTCCAAAGGCCGCCAAGTTTCGGTTTCAATGATCAACATCGTTCAGAGGAAAGAGTACTCAACAGACAGCGCATGGACAGCCAGACATCCTGAAAACAATGAACTGGAGCTCGAGGCAAAGAAAGTGAACTTGAAGTGGACCAAGGAAGTGTAAGAGCTAAGAGCTAAGATATTTTGGCAGCAAACAGGAGTGTTTTGTTAAGACCCTACATGCAGCAGTGCCATCTTTCTGGTACAAAATCCTTTGTCAAAGAAACAAAAGGCCAAGAAACTGATGAACTGCCATCAGCAAAATGCAAAATTTCTGTGCAATTATAAATGAGAAGGTAACAACACTCAAAATACAGGAGGAAACATTTCCAAGTCGTAGATCTGATCAGAGACCTGTCCAAAAGGGACAATGACATGATACATGAGAAATGCTAATCAAGACCCAGTGAGCAGTCCACACCCAGGAGGACAGGCCAACAGTCAGGTAAGTGTTGACACCAAAGCAGAGGAAACAGAACCCTCTATATGGCTGGTGAGAACGCCAAACTGTGGGGCCATGCTGAGCAAGTTAAGTGATTAGCAATTCTACTCCTAGGCAGATAAATACTAGAAAAATCAAGACATATCATAGAAAACTAGTACATGCACGGCCATGCCAGCATTATCCCTAAGAGATAAAATGTTGAAACACCCCGGCACCCCACTGAGCAGATAAAGTGCAGTCCATGATTAGTGGAACATCTCTCAGCCACACAGAAGAGTGGAAAACAGCACACACTGTGCCGTGTATGAAACTTGAGAGTGTTACACTAGTGAAGGGAGCCAGTTGAGATCATATATGGTTGAATGAACATAAAACATCCAGAATCAGGAAATCCATGCACACTGAGGCAGACTGGGACAGATGGAGACGAGACAGGCGGATCTGCAGCTGAAAGGTTTCTTCACATGGCGATGGTTGTACAGCTCTATGCTCACCAAATACTGATCTGGACACACTGGACTAGCACATTATACAACATGTGAAATGCAACACAACAAAGCCGCTTTTAACAAACAGATGAGGGCAAGATCTGCAGCCCTCTGGTTAACCTCCAGGAAACCAGTTTGAGTGCTGATGTCCTAGGGATGGAAGGCTTTCGGGGGAGAGACTTCCAATACATACTTCAGAAGACGTACAAGCCAGCTGCACTCCAACACAGGAAGGTTGCCTCGTCTGTCTTTCGAGGAAACAGACCAGCAATGCATCCAGAAAATCCCAGGGAACAGGGAAGGACCTCTGCTAGCCCATTTTAATCACCTACTATTCCAATTCCGAAAAATTACTTTAAAGGCCACTAGCAAGTGAGCTGCTTTTGAAAAGAAGGCAATTCTATTTATATGAGGACAAGAGGAAACAGAGACCTAATGACAGGCTCTGCATTAACTCTCAGTCAGGTACCACGCCCAGGAGACTCTAAGGTGTGTAACTCCACTGTGCAAATAGAAACAGAAGCCTTGCATGAGGAGCCCAAAAGCAAAGTGTGCCTCGGCCTTTCATTAGCTCTACTCGTTCACTTACATTTCATCCTCAGAAAACAAGAGCGTGTTGAGAAAGCAAAAGGCAGCGTGCCAAGAATCAGTAAGGCTGGCCACACAGGAGGCATGTGCACTGCAGCTACGAGGTGAAGTTACAAGAGCACAAAACACAAGCCACACACATCGGAAAGGCCTCCTGTGAGCAGGCGAGCATCTCCCACTACACCCAGCCATCTTTCTCCTTCCTCCTCGAGTTGATTTGAGCCGTGGTGTTTTATCACAATACTAGAAACCCTAAGAAAAGCCTTCACTCTGGCTTCTTCCTGTGGCTCTCTTACTACAAGCTAAGCCAGAATCTCACACCAGTGAAGTGTCAAAGGAAAAGCACCAAGTATTCACGTCAGGGGTAGCCTTGCGGTGCAATAAAGACCACATAACTGAGGCACACTGAAATCAAAGGCTAAAGTTGGGTATTTTCTCTCAAATACTATGCCCGCGTATTATACCATATAGAATTCTTTCCAAACTATTTTTTATAATTTCTCTTGTTTTAATTGTTTTATGATGACATTTCCATTCATCTATCATTGTATCTTGCTTACATCTGCCTCCATACCACTCTCCAACTCCAAACAGAACTCCTCCTGTTACACGTCACATATAAATAGGACATATAAGTGTACGTGCTGCTGCCCCTAGAGGCACTGCAGGTGTGGCTGCTGTGTCATATTGCGTCAGTAGGTGGCAGAGAGGAGAGAGGCTAGGTCTACCTAGGCTCAGTGTTCTGACCTATGAACATCTGAGTGACTAGTAGCCTAACATGCTCTGGAAAAGGAGAGTCTAAGATGATGATCAGTATGGCTCCAGGGGTCTGGACAGGGAGCTACCCTAGACAATTACCAAGACTAGTAATTAATTGTGCTGCACAGGCCTGGGGCAATAGGGAGGAGGCAGACCACACCCAAGATGACCCCCACCCAGTGCCATAATGCACAGATGGGCATAACACTCCTGGGGCCACTCCTGGGCAGACCCCAGACTCTCAGAGACCCTGGGCATCACTAAGAGGAGCATGCAAGTGGTAGAGAAATGAAGAGAAAGGGGAACAGAAGGATGTGGGCACAGTGAAGAGAGGCAGAGCTGGAGACGTGAGGGTCCTGAGGAACAGCCTGATGAGAGTAGCCAGGGATGTCCCCTGGGACCATGGTGGGGTCCTGGCCTGTATTACTACCAAGAGGCTGCGTATGTGTCCCAGGCCCTGCAGCAGCAGATGTCTGCTATCTCAAAGGCCAAGCAGATGTCCCAAATCTGGACTGCTGTCTGGAGACACGATGTCTGGGAGCTGTGCAGAACTGGCCCCAGCCCTCACCTGGGCATTTCGGGGGGAGAGCAGGCCCTGGAGGCCTGAGAGGGGAGAGCAGGCCCCGCAGTAACCATTGTGGGAGTTGACAGTGATAATGGAGGATACCCTCCTCCCTCCTCTGCCCCTCACCACCTGAGCAGGCAAGAGACCTGGCCCTGGGGTCGTGAGAACAGAAGAGCTAGCCCTGCCCTCACCAGCTGCAGACTCTTACAGAGGAAGGAAGCCCTGCACCTGCCCAGACAGCACAACATAGCTGACTCTGGTGACAGGGGCGTGGGTGAGCTGACACTGACGGGTGAGTGTGAGCACTGGAGAGCTGGCCCCACAGCTTGTCTACCATGTAACAGTGTGGGCAAGGGAGAGATGCCCTCCCCTACCCTCACCCCTTGCCATCTACAGCATAGGAGGCCCCAAGGTCAGCAGAGCTGAACAGCAGACAGTATCTCTTGCCTGCCATGCAGTGGCACAGATCCCCTCCCATCCCTTCTACCTTTGCCACCAGCGGTGGGCAGAAGAGCTGGTCCCAGCTCATAAGAGTGGGAAGACTGGCCACGTTCCTTACCTACTGCAGCACTCGGAAGAGCAGGCCCTGTACCTCGCCTGGGCCGCAGGGGAGAGTTGGCTCTGGTTGTGGGCTTGCTGGTGAGCTGGCCTCATCATGGGCATGAGAGCAGAGAGAAGGTGAGTGGACCAGCTCAGATGCCTCTGAGGCTCAGACCCACCTCAACATCTACCCCATCTATGAACTGCTGGAACTCATGAAGGGGCTGGTCCTGCAGATCCAAAACTATAGGACCTCCATGACACAGAGCAACAACAGGATAGCCGAGAGGAAACCCAGTGAGGTTCCAGTATTACAGAACAGCAGAAGCCAGAGGCCTCGTACCAGATCGATGAGTCACTGCAATGAACATTTGCAGGCAAAGTGTGGACAGAGGGGTACACTGTGGGGCACACTGACACACTTACACACTGTGGGGCACACTGACACACTTACACACTGTGGGGCACACTGACACACTTACAGCTTCCACAGTGACATTTTTTTCTTGGTTGGGGGAGAGATTACAAGGGTGGAGGGCGGGTAAGAGGGGAGGAGGAAAGGAGTGGGATTGGGGTGCATGAAATAAAATTTACAAAGATCAATAAGAAGTTTAAAAAGGCCGGGCGGTGGTGGCGCACGCCTTTAATCCCAGCACTTGGGAGGCAGAGGCAGGCGGATTTCTGAGTTCGAGAGTTCGAGGCTAGCCTGGTCTACAGAGTGAGTTCCAGGACAGCCAGGGCTACAAAGAGAAACCCTGTCTCGAAAAACCAAAAAAAAAAAGAAGTTTAAAAAGTGTACATGTGTATATGTATGTACGTATGTGTGTATGTATGTATATGCATGTACATGTATGTGCGTGTATGTTTGTGTGTGTACATGTATATATATTTCCACTCATGAGAAAAAACAGCAGTGCTGTCTTTCTTTGCTCCCATCTTCCTCTCCTCAGACGCCTCCCTCCCCTCATAGACCCTCCTCTCCTCAGACGCCTCCCTCCCCTCACAGTCTCTTGTCTACTTCTTTAGAAACTATTTTAGACAGGTCATAATAAACCGAAATGTTGCAGGAGTGCCTTATGAGCATCCAAAGCAGCCTCCGACGGCTCCATGCATTTCATCACACACCCTGGGAATTTCATGCAGTACAAACAGCCACAGAGGTAAAGAGAGTACCTGCCATGACAGCCGACAGCCACTACCCTCAGGAAGTTCAGTGAGGAAAGACGTGAAGATGTTTTCAAAACATAACAGGAAGAAATGAAAACAGTGGATCAACACAAGATATTGATGCAAGAAATGTGATAACTTATTTTATTATTTTTATATCTTATTTTAAATAAAGTGTTATGTGTCTGCGTGTGGGTTTATGCAAAGTGAATGCAGTATCAAGGAAGGCCAGAAGAGGGCTTCAGATTCTTATGAGCTGGAGTTACAGGCAGCTGTGGACAGCCCAATGTGAGTGTTAGGAACTAAACTCAGATCCTCTGCAAGAGTAACTAGTATTCTTAAGCATGGAGCCATCGCACCAGCCTTAATTTGGGGTCGGAGTCGGGGGGTGTGTACACACACCATGACACACAAGTGAACACAACAACTCTGTAGAGTCTAGTTCTCCCCTGCCACCTTTATATGGGTTCTGGGAATCGCACTCTGATGATCAGGCTTTGTGGCAAGTACCCATCTCCAGAGCCTAATAACAACTGAAACCATCACTAAAGCACAAGAATAAACTCTGGGTGTTTGCACAAACATTCTGAACATTCGGCAACATATAAAGACCTTAAAAAGTGGGCCCCTACTACATCCAACTGAACAGAAAAATCCTGTACTTAAGACTGATCAGACACCCCAGGATTTTACTCTATTGAAACAACTGGAATATCCATCAAGACTGAGGTGGAAAGACACATTGAATGTTTATAATAGCAAAAGAACCAGAAACATGTAAAAAGCCCAACAGGACTTATAAAGATACAAACTGTACCTGGAATCACAGCGCCTGGGGGGTGAGGCAGGAAGGCAATGGGTCTCAGGACCACCTAAATACAGAGCAAGAGCCCTGCCTCAGACTAACTCACCAGTCACTTAAAACATCACAAACTGCTTCCTGAAGACAAAGGAGAAAGCACAGGGACAGTGCTATTCAGCTGCCATCCAGAGTCTCCTGGCAGGTAAAGATTGAACCAAATGCACACGGTAAAAGCACATCACACTTGTCCCTCCCTGACCCACATCCATCCCATCCTGAGACTTTATCAGGACCGTGTAAAGGAAGCCTTGCCCAGCCATACACAAATGCCACTAAAACTTTAGCTAAAAGCAAAACTCAAAACTATACCTCACTGATTTTAACATATTTTTCAATACTGTAATTTCTGATATTTCCCTAGATCCTACAACCAACGTATTTAAAAGGCACTGTTACAATTTAACGATTAATAAATTTTAATGATACATAAAATTACAATGCATCTTCAAGATTACAGATCTGGCAGTTGAAGAAATAATCTCCAAGACTCAATTTTAAAACACTGTGTGAACAGAAGACAGAAGCGAAGTGTAATCACTGTTTGTAGGACCAAAGCAATGACTTTACGTGAGGATTTTCTATACAGAGTTTCTGTAAAGATGTAGACACAGACACTTAAGATTAGGGAGACTACTTCAGGGGCTGGAGAGAGGCCTCGGCAGTTAAGAGTGCTGACTGCTCTTACAAAGGACCAGGGTTGGATTTCTAGCACCCACATATAGCGTGCATGCGCGCGCGCGCACACGCACACACACAAACGCACGCACGCACACGCAGGCAAAACAACCATATGAACTCCTTCAACTATCTGATCCAAATGAAGACACTTAGCATTACGAAGAGTTCAGAGTACTGGACATTATGTCTGTGCCTCATGATATATCCTGCACAGCTTCTGAGCTCTGAACATGACAGACAACAAACAAGGAGTCATCTCAGAGGCTGGCCCCGTCCTGAGACAAGAGTCACCTTTCCTCCTGCAGTGACGCCCACGTTTCACAAAGCCAGGATTCCCCTGCTTCTATTCCTATTTATCAATACGTACTTTCTCCTGCAGCAGCGTAAGTAAATCTATTCCTGCTCACCGAGTATTTTCCCCTGCAGCAGCCTAAGTAAAATCAGTTTGGCCTTCCACTCCAGTTTGCCAGCTGTGAATTGGAGCTGGAACGGACAGGATGTAGACCCTGTCTTCAGGATCTCCGAGTGGAGCTTGTAATCAGGGACCGAGGGTGAATTTGCCTCCTCTTAAGCCTTGGCCCTCACCACTGGCCTAAGAGTAAGGAATGGATGCCAATTCTCGGTGTGATTTCTGTGGGTTTCATGGTCTGATCATCTGCTAATCTCTATAAACAGATTAATGGGTAACGGGGATCATGTCTCTCTGAGAGAAAGATGACAAAGCGTATGATTTGCTCATTTTTCTGCTTTGTCTGCTTATCCATCATGATGTGCACTCAAATCAGTTAAGATCCATACCCGCCGGGCACACACCTACTCGGTGGTAGATTCTGTACCTGTGCTAGCTTCATCACAGCTGCAATGTGGTAGATTCTGTACCTGTGCTAGCTTCAGCACAGCTGCAATGTGGTAGATTCTGTACCTGTGCTAGCTTCAGCACAGCTGCAATGTGGTAAATTCTAACCCTGTGCTAGCTTCAGCACAGCTGCAATGTGGTAGATTCTAACCCTGTGCTAGCTTCAGCACAGCTGCAATGTGGTAGATCCTATACCTGTGCTAGCTTCAGCACAGCTGCAATGTGTTGCCTAAAATGAGCGTGTCTACTTCCACATCTGAAACTCAGAGGTCTTCTTCGCCCCTCACTGCATTTCCTACCTCTAGACAGTTGTGCCAAAGTTGATCACAATGTGTCTAATGGGAGCTGTTTCAA